GGGCAGGGTTCCCACATAAAAACGCCAGGCCTGTGGTATGTGCATGTCATCCTAACTCTGGAGACTGGGGTGGGGCTGGGGGGGGAGTGAGGGTGAAGCAGATCCTGCTACTCCATGCAACCAACCCAGCCTACTAGATACGCTTCAGGCCAGTGAGAGAACTTGTTTGTGCCAGGTGAATAACGGGCAGCACATGAGGAATGACACCCCGGTTTCCTCTAGTCTCTGTGTGCACATGCATACGTGTGCACCCATAGAAACATGAACACAAACACCCATGTACACACCATTACATGCAGTAAACAAAAACATGAATAATACTGCTAACAGTTAGTGGCTCAGCAGTTGGGCTCTGGGCTAATGTCTCTATTGGCCCTATATGTGACCATTACTATTCTGTTTTATATACAGCAAGTAGAGGCTTACAGACATTGTGCGCCATTTTCCCATAGTCACACAGACGACAGATGGCAGAGCCAGAGCATGAACTTGGGCTCTCAGACCCCAGAGTCATCCTGTTAGCTGATCTTCCTTAAGGGATAAACTGCAAATATATGTGAGATTTTATTTGTAGGAATGAGATGACAGAAAGAGACCCCAGGGGCTAGGGACCATCTGTGTCTCATGTACAAGGAAGTCATTCTTTTCCAACAAAGAGAAAGATGTGGAGTTTTTTTGTTGTTGTTATTCTTTTCAATACATTATTTCTCTCCTGTAAGCTTATGACACCCATGGTTTCCAACATTGGCGTCAGAGTGAAGCAGGGGCTCATACATGTTCCTTGAAGAACAAAAACTATCTTTTTCCTACACATTAGATGCTGGATGAGTGCTCTGGTTAATAATTATGGTAAATGATGTAAAATCCTTACATTTGTCTAGACAACTGTGTTTGTTTTTTTCCCCTTGTTTTGTTTTCAGCCTGTGAATTTCAGCAATTGCTACTTGATTAAAGTACATTGGTTTTCTAACATCTGCTAAAAGATTGGGGTTCTACCTGCACCTGTCAACCAGCCCCCCTCCACAGGGAGGAATGTGACAGATTGGGGCCTGTTAAGATAAGCTTTTTCCTTGAGAAGGAGCCGTTCTGCCAGCCTGGTTCCAGAGCCGCATCAGTCCCAAATAAACACACTGGAGGCTATATTAATTATGAAGCTGTTGGCCTTGCTTGTTTCTTACTGGCTACCTCTGACTTAAGTAATTACCCCATAATTGTTAATCTAAGTATTTCTCTTACCGGATAATGATTCCGGGCTTCCTACCCCCATGGCATTACATCTTGACTCTCTTGTGTTTCTCCTTCCCAGAGTTCTCCTGGACTCCTAGTCCCTCCCATCTAGATTCCCTATAGGCTCAATAGTACTTTATTGACAAATAACAGGCAAATAACAGGACTTCCCCAACAGGGGCCTCCAATAAATGTTTGTTAAATGAGACAGGGACTGAATTTTGCAAGTACGCACCGTGATAGAAAAGGTACTGTGCATCGTGCTGAGGACTTCTAGGGAAGAGAGAGAGGTCTGTTTTAGTCACATGATACTTTTTCTTCGCACATGGCAGGCTGGCCAGCTCCTAACTGCCTACCTGGAGGAATGCTGTGTCCACCAAAGTAGCAGTATTAATAGGCTTAAAAAAACTCTTACCACCATGAGCCTGTGTTTCTCTCTCTCCGCCTTGATGAAGGAATACTGACTTCCTTTTCCCTCCATAGAGTATATCCCTTTTTCTTATTAATTTTGTTAGTTTTTATACATGTACAGAATGCATTCTAATTCTCTGCTCCTAGAATCTCCCTCCCCGTCTCTATCCAAGCTCCTCCCTCATCCCTACCACTGCCTTTCCCAGTTCATACTTTTGATTGTGTTTTATAACTCATTCAGTTTAATCAAGGCCATCCGTGTGACCATTGAGCTGGATCTGTCTGGTAGAGCCCAGTGGAATAGGCAGTGGGCACACAGCCGAGGGTCGTGCCCCCCCCCCCCCCGCTCTGAATTCATCAGTAGCAGTGGGAGTGAGACCTCTTCCCTCTCCTCCCTTCCCCTCTGTACCTCCTCCCCTCCCCTCCCCCTCTCCACGCCTGATGGTAGGCCTGGTTTTGGTGTGGATCCACCCATGGCTGTGGCGAGTGCATGATTGTAAAGGCAGTGTCTTACCCAGGAAACATTTCTTAGCTTCTCCCTGTCTTTCAGTTCTTACATTCATTCCACCTTGTCTCCTGAAGCGTCCCTGAGCCTGAGAGGGGATGGTATAAATGCCTTGTTTAGAGCTGAGCTCTCAATGATCACTTGGTCATTTACTCTTAGCCCCGAGTCTCCGTATTCATCCTACCCAATGAACAGAAAGGTCTCTCTGCTTAAGTCTGAGAGTAAAATTGTCTATAGGTGTAAACCTAGATAGAGGGCAGTTTGGCTTTGTGTCAGAGTTAATTTCAGCAAAAGGCGGGATACAAACTTAACATGTAAGAAATCAGTAGGCTTTCTCTCTACCAATGATAAACACACTGAGAAAGAAATTAGGGGAAGCACTTTTAAAAAGATTACCCTCAAGGAAACCTAACTAAAGAGGTGAAGGACCTCCACTATGAAAACTTCAAATCTCCCAAGGAAGAAATTAAGGAAGATGCTAGAACATGGAAAGGCCCCTCCCCCATGTTTGTGGATTAGTTACTATTGTCAAATGACCATCCCGCCAAAAGTGGTTTATGCATTGAGTGCAATCTCAGTTAAAATCCCTATGCCATTCTTCAAGTAACAAACAAAAACATAGTATTTTTCTTATTGTAAGTTAGGGATAGTTCAGCATCCCCAGGACTTAGCAGGAGAGGAGAGAAGAGACTTCCCAGCCCTCATGGAAAGTGGGAAGCTACACTTGGTTGGCTTCTCATCCCCAGCTGCAGGGCTACCTGGGTGAGACCCTGTTCCCTCAGCGAGTTCAAGTTGCTGTCACAAGGGCCATAAAGGGACACTTGGACCTGGGTTCTCGTATCTGTAGCCAGACTTCATGAGTATTTTTAGGGCCCCCTTTGTCTGAACCTGATTTCTGCTTGAAACTTTTACCACATGTAGCCTGTGTTGAAATGACTTTTAAACTACTCTCTGGGCAGTGGGGGAGGGGTTGGATCACACACAACTACAGCCTTTAAGCGGGGTATTTTTTTCCCTTTCTTTCTGAAAAATTTTTTTAATTGCTAAATATCCAACAGGCTGAACAGAGGAAACTCAAGTGTAACCCTGGAGGGACCCCTGTTTAGTCATCTGTCTAGACAGATGAGTGTCTATAATGGGACTCTTGATTCTTTTGCTGTGTGGAACAGAAGGTAGGCCTCCCCTTTCAACTTTGAAGATGTTAACCCCCACGCCGCTGTCAATAAGCCAAGAAAGGGATTCACCTACCCACCCACGAACCAACAATGACCTAGCATGTGACAACTGCGTTATGAAGGAGCAGCAAGAAAATGCAGGCTCTGCATAGAGACCAGGTTACAATGCAGCAAGCCTGCTACACTTCCAGAACCTCACTTTGCTTTTCTCTAAAATGAGGGTTTGTTTTTTAAAACCTCACTTTTCTTTAATGACTTTTAAAGAACAAAATGATCTACCACACAGAAATGCTTCATGCCTCGTAAGGGCTGAAGAAATTGCCCTTCTTTTATTGGTTTCCTGGTCACTGCTGAAGCACTTAACTTCCTTGCTTTGCTATTGTGAGAATTCAATTTAAAAAGTAGGCGGTAAGGCCCATGTATTTTAGCATCAAGTTGACAAAAAAAAAAAAAGAGTGGCTGATGTCGTCTCAAAGTCTAGAAAATCTGAAGAGGTCCAAGTTTCTGTGAGAGGGGAAGGATGTAGCAGATATCGCTTATCAATATGAGGTACCTAGAGACAGTCAAATTCATAGAGTCCAAGAGGCATGGTGGATGCCGGGGCAGGGGGGAGACCGTCTAAGCGTGGAGTCTTTAGACTTTCAGTTAAGCCGGAAGAGTGAGCTCTTGAACTTCTCCACACATCAGTGTATGGAGTCAGTCAACAGTAGTTAGAAGTGTGCCCGTTGGGAGGATAGCAAGTGAGGTATTCTTGCCATCTCCTGGCTTCCTCAGAAAAACTGGTCAAAGCCAATTTTCTCGAGGTAGGTGGCCCGTATGGTTTCCATGCACATACTCTGTAGACGTGTAGAGAGGCCACAGGAGGACACTGGGAGTTTTTGTTCTCTCACCCCGAGGTAGCATTGTTCACTGACCCAGAAGACTAGTCTCCCGTCTCCACTTCCCCGTGGCACTGGGGTTACAGCTCTTCATGCAGGTACCGGGGACTGAACTTGGGTCCGGAAGCTCGTAAACAGCAGCTCTCACTTTCTGAGCCACCTCCTCCCTGCCCGCAAGTGGATATAGCACACTAATTGTCTCTCTCCTTGAACCTCTTCATTTTAAGTTCTGTATGGACGGGAACTTTTATCTCATTTATTCTGTTCATTTTCACCGCGCACGCGCACGCACTGTGTTATGGGAGGACCGCTTGCTTGGAAGGGGAACTTGGGCCCGAAGGAGAAAGGTACAAAGGTCCCACTGCCTGGGCTAAAGCACAGGCGTCCTCACTCCTGTTGACAAGGCAGTGGGCAAGGCTGTCGCTATCATTCTTTGCAGGCTGCAGGATTTATTACTGAATATGATTTCGCACGGTGTAGGAGAGCACAGTGAAGCCCGCAGGGGTGCCCGGGTCGACCGGGGATGTGTTTGACCCCCACAGCTATCAGGCATGAGCCTCTTCTTAGCTGCTGCCCTGTGTCTTCAGATTCGTCTGCCTGACACTTGGGGAAGCCTCACTTCTTTGAGGAGTTCACCTTCCTGCTGCCAGGGAACTTGAACTTGACTTTATTCTGCAGCTTGGGGCTGCAAATGAACAGGGTGACTTGGCTAGCGTGAATCCTGTGAATCCCGGGGCTTCCCTAAGGCACCTTGCATACCTTACATGCCTGCCACTGAGATCAGAGACATCAATATCCACCAGAAAATGTCTCCAAGGTCCCTGAGAGCTATCCGTATCGGCAATAGACTGCATACATTCCTGAGGAGGCTGCTGTGAGTGTCCGCTACACACCAGGCCCCTGTGAGGAAAGAAGCTTGACTGATTGGCTTAACCGACTGCAGAATTTCTATTCTGTCGGATATTACAGTCTTATTAGCTCATACACATCCTTTTTGTGGAGATAGACTAGTAAGAGAACTGTTGTATACAATGTTGTATAAGTGGATTTGTAGGCACAGCACAGGGAGAACATACGGGGAAGATGCCTAGCAGATAAAACCAACTGGTGAGAGAAAGCATCCCTAACAGTCAGGGAGCCCAGTGTCTCCAGCACAAAGATCAGTCACAGCCTCAAAATGAGGAAGAAAGGGAAAAGCTTGCCGGTTCATCAGCCGTCAGAGGAGAGCAGCCCGATATCCACTACGTGAGCGAACCCTTTCCCACCCCACACCTCGGTTCACGGCATCCACAGCCACCGAATTCCACTGGAACCCAGTGCTGTGCATGACTGTGGACTTGGTGCCTTTGAGTCATGTCTCTTTCAATACAACAGCAATCAATAAAAAGCCCCCGGTAAAATGTGGTTAACCACAAAGACATCCTCCCTGCCCCCACCCCCAGGTCAGCACTGTGATTCATTCAGTCCTGTGCTCTTCACGCTAATATGCTTCCTCAAGTAGGAACAGAAGGTCTACTCTTTTCTGGGCCCCGATTCTCTGCCTGGGACCCCCGGGAAGCCGAGGCCTGCCCAGTATGTGGGTGGCTATGGCTGGGGAAAGCTCTCCTCAGATCTTAGGATAACAGGACGGAGAGATGCAGTCTTCAGTGCCTGAAAGTGTCACCGGATTAGAAGTGTCTCCTCTCTACCTGATGCTACCCTGCCCTCCTCCCCGTCGTCATTAAAGTCAGTGCTGACTAAGGCGTCTGCGGGTCACCACGTCCCCTCTTTTCGTTCATTAGGAATCTGGTTATGTTATCACTTCTTTACCTGTTAGGTAGTCAACTGTGATTCCCTGGGGAGGAATGGATGAGGCAGAAAGGAAGCCATGGAAAGGCCTTCTACGGTTCCTGTGTGGTGTGTGTTGTTGCCACTCTCCTGGGAAGTCCCTTCCCAGCCAGTCTAGAAGGATGCCTGCCAGCAGTCCACTTGTCACCCAGCAGTCACTGAAGTGTGACCTCCTGCCACTCACAGGAGGCAGCTGGCTGCATTGGCACCTGGCTCTGTAAAAGCAGAGAAGGGAGGCAGTGTTCTGCAGCCTAGGGAGACGGCCCCTCCATCCTTCCTCCTAATGCCCACTGTCAGGGTTCCTAACTCGTATTCCTCGCATCTAAGCTGGGGAAGACCGGGCTGAATGTTCACAGACTGCTACAATGGCATCTCCACTTTCCTTTATGTGCATTTAGCTCATCTGGTAGCATCCTACTGCGGAACCAGTTACCTTTTGCTGAGAACTGGCTGCATTCCTTTTGTCCACACTAGGTTACTGCTCAGCATTGCTCAGCAGTAACGGAAATGCTCACGGACAACTTCCTGCGGCCAGCATGTTGGAGACTTTAATTTGTTTCTTGCTGGCAGTCATAATACTTGTATTTTCTTCATTTCTCGTTTGGAGAAAACAAGGCAGAGAGAGGTGAAACTACTTTTTCAGATAACTAAGTGGCAGAACCATGACACCCATCCCCCAAACACACCGTTGTCATTCACTCCCATTTAGCGGAAAGGTCAAGTCCATGACCAGTCATGTCACCCAAAGCTTAGGTGTCATTTATGGATCAGAGCATAACCTCTGGGGAGAAAATGGCCCAGGTCTGAATATTTGAAGAAAGAGATTCCCCTCTAGAAATAGATTCCATTTACCCCAACATTTTGAACCCAAGTTCACTGAATATGCTAAGGTCTGAAGTTGAAAGGAGAAGACCATTTGAGAAGTGCTCGTTATGTGACTTTAAAAAAAATGAAATCCTCTGATTAGCAAACAGGACAAATGTTTATAAGCTGGAAGATTTTCAGTATCTTTATTTGAGTTGCACGAAGTGGCCAAATGCAGCTTGGCCCCAGGCTGCAGAGTGTGTGTGTCTGGTGCCAAGACACCACTGAGCTCCGTCTGAGATACCAAGCATTCCAGGCCTGTTACCTTGTAAGTGTAATATTTAACATATTTTTTTCTTCTCTGAGATGAAGAGAAGAGCTAAATAGGATAGGGGCTGGTTGGACTGCCGGCTATGGGGTTCCCTGACCAGAGGGAGGTGTGAGTGGAGGAATTACCTGGGAAGATAAACAAAGATTTGCCACAAACAATCCCTTTGCTGACAATTTGGCACCTAGAAGGAGATAACAGAGGTGAACCAAGTGGGGTGCTCTCCATGTGCCGGACAGAGTGTTCAATTTGGCTTTGATGATCCTCACCGTGCATAAGGCAGACTCTGCTGAACCCTCCTCGGTACATGGAGAAAGTGCAGCGAGTCATGTGTGTGACCCACTGCTAACCCTGTGCTGTTCTGAGGCCCCCAGTTATATGTTAGCACAGCTGGTATAGACCAGCCACGCTAATACCTAACACATCAACCTTAGCCAAATGGGCCATTGTTTTCCTTTCTCAAACCTTCCCAACTGCCCTAGGAGTTAGGTGTTGTTAAAGTCTTACATTCCTGGAAACTGAGTAAAAGGTCAAGCATTTAAATGCTCAGGGTCACACCACTGTGTGGGAGAGCTGGGGACAGAATCGTGTATGCGGAATCTCAGGCCTTAGCTCTCTTTTCCTTAACTTACAACATCTTCATTGGCATCAAAGGCAAGCTCACAGGCAAAACCCTGGAAGTCTGGGCCAACCCGGCCCTCTATGACAGAAAGAGGGCAAGTGTTCGAGCTACAAGAGAGCTTAGTGGGTAAAGGAAGTTTCTGCGAAGGCTGCCCACCTGAGTTACATCCCGGGCCCCACACAGGGGTGGAAAATGACAAACATGCCTCCTGCATGTTGTCCTCCAACCTACATATACACTGTGTAACACACGTGGACATGTGCATGTACACACTTAACTCACACACACACACATACCATGCACACACACAAAATCGTTCTTACTTTATTTTAAAGGGGTTGTGGGAGTGAGGCAGAGTTGTAAAAGTTTGTATTGAACACTGTATCTGTAAGAGCTGCCAAATGAGATCTTTTAGGTAGGTAGGTAGGTAGGTGTGTGTGTGCGCGTGTGTGCATGCGGGTGTGTGTGTGTGTGTGTGTGTGTGCGCACGCGCACACACAAGTACATACATGTGCAGAGGGGTAGTCAGGATGAGGGCAGGGAGGAACTATTTTCAAACTGAAGAAATCACTAGGTGACAGAGAAGAACACATGCCTTGTCCCTTGTCCCCTGTTAACTCCCATCCCTTTACTTGATGAGTTGAGGTTGAGGAGACCCTGTAGGTTGGGTTGCCACAATTATCCTTAATCCGCCCACAAAATAAACCCCGAATTCCCTTTGAAGTGCTTTCGTGAAAATACAGCCTTAGTGTTGGACAGGGCCCTGTGAGCTCCTCCACCCCCTGCAGGGCCAGGGCTGTCTTCCAAGGAGGGTGGAAATATAAACACAAGGACCTCCTTTCCCTAGGCCCCTTGCAGGAGCCCTTATTCAGCTACTGGTCCTTTTGACTTGGAAGATTCTGCTTTGGTTGAATCTCACCCCAAAAGCAATATTTTTAGGTAGAGGTGGAAAATTCTAGAAGCAAAGGTGTGAAGCGAAGCTTTTTGGTGAGTGTTGTCCATGGAAGAGCAGTCATCCCTAGCATGGATGAGATGTGCTCCAAGACACACATTTAGGCTCAGCAGGGCTGTGTTCACGAAGGTACTTGGTGGCTCACCACTGACTTGGTGACTGTTTCTAAGCAACTGACTTGTGCTTCTTTAGGAAAGTGGGGAGTCGGGGTTTTTCTTTGTGAACAATCAGGTTTTTCTCTGCTGGCCTCACAGTATCGCTGTGTCTCATGAGTGTTGGGATATGGAGACCAAACCCAAAGGGTGACTTTACATAATTGCAAATATTCAGGTAGAAGAGAGGCCAAGTGACTTGCTTGAAATGAACTGACTATCCTTTGGGTTAGAGAAGTCTGCTTTGGGAAGATGAGTTCTTGAAATCATCACTCCCTGTTCCTAGCCCAAGGCTCAGGTGCCACATGTGTTTCCTGCTCTTCTGAGAGCATTCCTTTGCCAGCCCTGGGAGTGTGTGACATGGATTTACTGTTTCCCTTTTACCTACTCGGCTCAACTTCAGAAAACTTATGTCTGTGAGACTGAGGAGTTTGTTACCCAGCCCAACCGTACTGCAGGAATGGGCCCTGATTCTTAAATCTGATGTCAGCATGCACCAGGACAGGTGTTTTCAAGTGACCCTGCAAATTGAATGCCCAAGAGGAGAGACAGCAAAGCATGGATCTCCCAAAATTCTGAATTGTGTGTGTGTGTGTGTGTGTGCGCGCGCGTGTGTGTCTGTGTCTGTCTGTCTGTGTGTGTGTGTGTGTGTGTGAGAGAGAGAGAGAGAGAGAGAGAGAGAGAGAGAGAGAGAGAGAGAGAGAGAGAGAGAGGAAGAATGAATGTCTTGGCACTGGACATCTTAGTAAGAATTCCTGAGAGCTGGCCCTCCTTGTAGGATAGCTTCATCTGCTCACCAATCATGGATGTGTGGGATGTTTGGGTTTCTTTCTTTTTACTTTTTAATGAAAGGATTTAGCCACAACTATTGTGTAGGGGACTCACAAGATGTGGGGCACAGGCCATGAATCAGGGTTTATGAAGTTAAAAGTTGTAGTAGACTCAGTTAGCGACTTCTGAAGAACTTTCCATGGAGGGTATTGCAAGTAGGAGCCATGGCCTTTGGGTTTCCCCATCAGGAAACACGTCCTGGCAGAAAGCCCATGTTCTGAATGTTAGAGTCACTGTGCAGTGAAGTGACCCAGGCATCCTTGGCCTCCACTGTCATACTCCTTTCCACACTACGGAGTTTGCCATTTGTGAAGATGCTGTGACTATGTTAGCAGTTCTATAGAAATGAGGTACACAGAAATTTTCTCAAAGGCTATGTAAACCAAAGGTTATGTAAACCATATAAAGCAATTCGCTCGTTGCCTTC